CGTCAACGTTCCCTACTATGCAGCAATATACCCTAATCACATTTATCATCGAGTCAAATGCTGACTGACTTTTTTCATACTAATTTTATCCATTATTTATATTCTGAATTGACGACTGATTTTTCCGCTTTTTCCCCGATCATGACAAGGAACACACGGCGCATGTGAATGGTCGCGTGGATCTCTTCCTCCATGGCACCTAATCCCACCTCTGATGTTTCGAAGGTCCTTTTTTGCTCTGCCCTCTTTTGTATTGTTTTGTAAACTTGATACTAAATGCGTTGTTATCTCAATATCAGCCTCTCAGAATGCAAATGGATATATAGTGATTTTATAACATAATTAAAAACTATTTTACAACGATGGGCGATTCTTTTGAAGATTTGTCTGATATCAGAAAAATATAAAGTCAGGAGGGTTTAAAAATTTCACGTTGGGGATATGTTAAACGTTTTATTGACCTGTGATGTCGGAGGGACGTGATTTTAGCAAATGCATTTCCAGTTTAAAGTACATATATAAATTCTAATATTGCAAGGGCATAACAAAGTTAAAAATCTTAGTTTAATTTATAATTCTTTGCATCACAATATGTATATGTGAAAAGTACTGCAAACCTATGCATTTCCACTATTTTATTGCTATAATTATATTTATTAACTGTGGGTTTAATATTTTGATTGTCAACTAAATAAAGTAAAAATAATCAAACCCCATTAAGAAAACTTCTAACGAAAAAAAAAAGTTTTCTATAGTTAACTATAGTAAATCAAAGTGCAAATTATCACAATAATAAATAATGTTTTCAAAGTGATCACTATAGTGTCAAAGTTATCACTATTATAGTAAATTTATGTGATCACTATAGTAAACTAAATTATCACTATAATAAATTTAAGTTTTCATAGTGATCGCCATAGTAAATCAAAGTTTTATAGATATAACTATAGTAAATAAATTATCACCATAGAAATAATTTTTTTCCCAAGTTTCCATAGTGATCGCCATGGAAAGTTTTAAGTTATCACTATAGTAATTCAAAGTTCTTATAGTGTCAAAGTGTTCATTAAAGTAAACTTTAGCTAAGTATTGTAAAAAATAGTTAACTTAGATTTTATGTTTGGGTTGTTCAATTAGACTGTTTTTAATTAAAAAAATTACAATAGTACACATAATTTTTAGTTAATGTGATAATTAAATAAATCTTAAAGCACAGTCGTGCATTGACTCTTAAACAAATTAAAGGCTTGAATGACTTTATGATACAAAAAAAAAAAATAGGGATGTCAATTTTACTTGGACAGCTTAGTCGCATGCTTTAGTCGAACGATAGTCGATTATTCGTTTAATTTTAATTATTTTTTTTCATTTTCACTGTATGTCTTTTTTGACGAGTTTACACTATTTAATCTATGTTATCAACATGTTATCACCATTATACAACGAATTTCTGAATTGTTAACATGTATGTAGTAAAATAAAAACTTTACAGCAATATGTACGAGGGGTTATCAAAAAGTTCGTGGACTGGCGCTATAAAATAAATACTATGCTAGCTGGGTTAATAAAATTTATTGTCGATTTGAATTAACAAAAGTTGAAGTTATTCTGAAAATTTCAACTGTGTACTATTCAAAACCATAATTTTATCGTAAAATGAATAACACAAGGTATGGTAACCCGGCGCTGTTGCCGGTTCAGTTTTTTGACGTCGTGTAACGTCATCGCGTCATGACTTTTCAACCTGCAACAATACACTTTTCATGGCGCTGTACCCAGGAGTGAAATATGGAATGATACCACTCCTTTTATAAGTGTAGTTTCTGGTTTACTACTGACTTCAGCTCTGTAATGTCATGAAATTTTCTCCCTCGTATATCGTTTTTCAGTTTTGGGGAAAGAGGCAAAGTCGCAAGGTGCGAGGTCTGGTGAGTACGGTGGGTGGGGCAGAATTTGGGCCCCTGCTGTAAGTTGATTGTAAGTACAGTCTCTGCTGAATTGTGGGATGGGGCATTGTTGATCAGAAAATGTTTTCCCGATTTAAGTAAAAATCAGGTCTTTTTTTCCTAAGCGCATTAACTAAGTCCTTTGATAAAACCTATAAATATAAAATCAACATGCAGTTGCGCGTTAATATTTTAAAACAAAATGACTGATAATGTTCAAATATTTCAACATTCGCTTATTTTATAATTGCATAATCAATATTTCAATTTATTGTATTACTTTTATTGGGTTTATATGTGTTGATTTTATAAAAGTTAGGCCTACAGTACTTCATATTTCTTTCCTTTTATGCAATAAAAATTATATCTAACCTTTGAGTAATATTTTACATTTACTGATCTTCCTTTAGGCACAACGTGACTTAAAATAACTCCACGTGAGTCAAAAAATATTATAAACATGTGCTTTTTACGGATTGAAGCTCTGGCCTTTTTGGGAGGGGGTGAATTAGACCCAATCCACTGCATTGACATTTGTTTACTTTCCGGGTCAAAATTGGATATCCATGTTTCGTCTACCGTGATAATTCGGTCCAAGAAGTTTTGATCAATGCGAAATCGGCGCAGAAACTTTTTTATTCTTCGACTCTTCTGACTTTTTCAAAATCTTTTAAGAGTCTTGGTACCCATCTTGCACACACCCGGGACATTTTCAAGTCATTGTGTACAATGCTGTGTATGGATCCATAGGAGATAGAAAGATCTTCACTCAACTGTGTTAATGTAATCCGTCTATCCGAGTTTAAGATTTTTCCCGACGCGATCAACGTTATTTTCAGTGGTAACAAGTTTCGGGCATCCGACTCGCAAATCGTCTTCCTTTATTCTCTACCGTTTAAATGTTTATGCCACTTAAAGACAAGTGATCTTGATACTTTTTTCTTTCCCCTGCCTGATTAAACATTTCCACTCTCTGTTGGGGTTTTACCAAGTTGAACGCAAAACTTTATAACATTCCGGGGAAAAAAATTTCCCCTCCGGCGTCATTTTTCACTCGTACAATTTTGAACAAACTTATAAAAATGGCTATAAAATTCCACACAATGCACTAAATGACGTAAAATTTTAAAAAATTACGGAACTGTTGTATGACGTCTATTTAAAAAATTCGGAAAAGTTTGATAAGAAATAGTCATTATTTTTCAATTTATATTTTAAACTTGAAGATCAGAATTTGTCATATTTTGAGGTTGCGCCGCCTAGTCAAACTATCGCAAAGGTTATAGCATGTAATTTTTTAAAAAATGATTATTAAAATATAAAATCTTCATAGTATTTGGAAAGATCTATATTTAGTTACACTCCAAATTTCATTGAAGTACCTTGAACGGTATTAATTTTATAGCGCTAGTCCACGAACTTTTTGATAACCCCTCGTACTGTACCCAGTGTATTTAATTTCAAAATTAATTAATATATTAGCATTATATGTATATGCAAAATATCAAACCTGTATTTACCCTTTCTCTGCATAACGGTAGTAGATGTACCTCATTACTGAAGCCAATTTCTACTTGTCCGTCTATGATCTTTGACAGTTAAACAAATAAAGCGTGTCTCTTATAAAAACAAAGAGAGAGCAAATATAGCTTGGGATAAATTTCAATTATGAAATTTGTGCAAACAATCAATAATCGTAACATGAAATTAATATCAGAAAAGAAAACACGATTTAATTACTCTCAATACTGACCCCAATCTATATGTATTTACAATTTTGTAATAGCTGTTTAATCAGAATTCTTTCTGAATAGTTGTATCACGTCAAATCTTCGGAGTTTGAATTTTCAAAACTAAACAAGTGTCCTCTCCATTTAAAACAGTAAGAGGTAGACAATCATTAATAATCATGTTTGTGATTTTTCTTTCCCACTCTGCTTTTGTGTCATTTTTGCGGAGAACTTCACATAAATCGCATCGCCGCAAAATGTGTTTGATGTTACACTGCGCTGCAGTATAAAAGTTCAGATTCACATAATCTTGATAACATTGTTTACCTTTGTTAAGTTATACCAAAGGCCATAATAAATAAATTGCTAGATTCTCATCCGAAATTTTTTAAAAATCGAGGCGGGTGGGCGGCTTTTATTTTATATTTTTTTTTATTTTTTTTCAATTTTGCAGATTTTTTATTCACCTGGTCAATCGATGTAATTTTATCTACAATACCCGAATGAAAGTCACAGTAAAGGTTTAATTATCTCTTACTTCATGTCATCACCAATCTTTTTCAACCAATGACCCTTGTTTAAAATATATACCGGTACGCATGTATTACAGCAATTACCATCTTTTCAGCTGTCAAAATCATGTAGACTTTCCCGATCAGAATTAAGAGGAAGAAAAACAGAAAGAAAAAAATAAATCGAGGAGGGGGTATAAAATCGGGGCGGGCGGGGATGCGAATCTAGGAATATTTTTATGGTCAAAACTGTAGATATTGAAGACATGTTTGTCGAACATACATTAGACGTATAAACTTTGAACAGTCGTACCATACCCTTAATTTTACATATGAAAATATTAATGTAAATCTATGAAATGGGCAAATATAAATTTATTGCTTTGAATTTAAAATTACTTTGATGAAACACATATTTAACGAATAACCGACTAAAAAAATTTTAGTCGATAGTCGGTATGATCGAACGATAGTCGAGTACTCGAATATTCGTTGACATCCCTAAAAAAATCATTTTTTTTAAATCAGATTTTCGATAATGATTAAAACAATATTCATGGTTAATAAATGAGCATTAGATATATAGGCAATATACCATCATAATACCATGTAGAGTTTATATATCAAGGTCAAGGTTTGCATGAATGACATAAAATTAGTATCCATCTAACATTGGCATCAATATTTTAGCATACGTACATGAAGTGTTAGCTAGCTTTATTTCTAAAAATAAAGTATTGGATTGCTTTGTTTGTGACAATGAAAAAAAAATAAAAAAGTGTATGGGATAAAATAAATTCATTCTTTGGCAGCAGTGAAATCAACGGAGATGGATGTCATCAGTATAGAAAGACAAGAAGAAGACCAAGAAAGGGGTGAGACTAGTTATATTGATAATGAGCTTGTTCCTTTTGTAAATATGCAACGCTTCGCAGGTACGATAAGGATTTCCTGAGAATATTGCATTGTACTCTGTGCATGCACTTTTCTGAACTACAAATGTATGACGTCATATTTGAAAATGACCTCAAGTCACTACAAACTTTAGCTGTAATGAGAGGGAGAGTGTAATAATCTTGCATTTTTTTCAATCTGCATATAAAGATGCAGAAATCTAATTTAAAATAAATGTGTTTTAAATAATTTTAAAAAATACAATATATTCGAATAATTTAGATGACTTAGTTTTTTACTTTTGTGTAAAAATCAGCGTGTTTTAAATACATACATGTACGAAAATATACGTTTGACATGTACCTTTTTATACTCGTGAATAGAGGCAGAATTCATATGTGTATAAAAGAGCCTGGTGCATGTCATTAATGAGGATTGATTTGAGATGTTTAGAGAAAATCTTTAAGAGGACTCTCCCCTCTAATCTTGCTTGGGAAAAATGTATGATGATTTGTTTTAAAACAGAATACGATATTGAGCGGAAAATGCCCTCAGATTTGTGGGTAAGTTGAGGTTAATGAGAAATATTTTGTACCAAAGTTATGGTATAACTTTCCCCAAGACATTTCGGTTTCTCAAGGATCCAACCACTTTATATAAATTACAAAATTTATGAGTAATGTATATCAGGCTGCGCCGATGCGATTTATGTGAAGCACTTCAAGAAGTAGAAAATGAAAATTACGTGATCAACGAGGTCATGTGATATTGTAAAAGAAAAATATGATTGTATATTGTCTAGGTAACTCTCTATATAAATTGGCCGTATTTTAAAATACGTAACTTAAAAAAAAAACAACTTAAAATCAACCTTGCAATGCAGTGTTACGTTTTAAATGCATTTGAAGCTTTGGGAAGCCTTAACAGTTCTGCGTTCAACTGTTCGTTGAAATTACAAAATTAGGATTATTTTCTATGAGTATATTATACCGTAAATCTGGAAATTTTTACGTCGATTTTATTTTGTGAGTTCGGGTCAAAATGGCGTTGATTAATTTTTATGTATCAAAATTTTGCGAATTACCACTGCATTGTTTACATTTTCTTATTGGTAATTTATTTTTTAAGAAAAATATTTTGCGAACACAATGAACTCGCAAATTTGCTAAAAATTTATCTACAGCAAAAATTTCTTGATTTACGATATTTCTCTATTCCTTTTTTCTACCCTGCAAAAATGTTTATGTATTTTGTTCAATCTATTATGACCTGACTTCAATTTTAACACTTTACATGTCTTGAAGTCACATGGTATAAATTTTAATGTTGCACTTTAGCAGAAGTATTGAACAACTAGGAAGTCTGCTATTGCAAGCAAAAGCGTATGTCGCCCCAACTTGGACAAGACTTTAATTTTTTTATCACTAAAACAATAGTATTGTTACAATACCTATTTGCTAAGCTTGGACAACCATCGAATCGTATCAGCCTTTTCGGTTCTTTGATTTAAAATCAAAGCTAAATTATTTTCACTTTTTTCCCGCTTCCATGGAAAAAATTACCAATTTGCAATTTTTAAATGCAACATGAACAGTTACTTTAAATTTAAAAAATTTAAAT